ACTCCCTCCAAAATAATTTTCGCCATTAATTTCATCCATAATTTCACCAAATTTAAATTTGTATTTTTTTTATATAAATTTTTTTAATGATCTTGGTTTTTTTCCTCCAAAAGTATATCAAGCATTTACGTCTTAGATAATGTTGCCCCATTATAATTATTACTTTCCAAAAATATATCCGTTTAATAAGTAATTTGATTTAATGAAGGATGTAAATGTTAATTAAAACGGGATATATATTCCATAATTATTACACGGGTTTATTAAAAAAAATTAATATCAAGGTGTAAACATTAAGCATTTTTAAAGTGAAATTTCAGAATACATACAAACGATGATGTTGTACAATGAAATATAAAATTGAATAAACTGAAAAAAAAAAAAAAACTATTAAGACAGTCAATCTTGAAAATAACATAGTTATGAAAAATTATAAAGTAAGATAAAAACTATAAGATATTAGGAAATTTGTAAAAAGTACAATTAGTAAAAAGCGTTACGATTATTAGAAAAAAATAAGACCGTTAAGATTAGTAAAAATACAATATATAAACTAAATTATCACAATAGTAATGAAATGTCATTATTTGATATTTCATATTTCATATAATTAAAAGATATACCAAAATTACATTGACGATATACTAAAATTATTCAAAGTTGCGCCAAAACTAATGCAAAGTTCTTGCGAACACCAAATAAATAAGAACAAACATAAAAGCTAGCACTTATATTCATAATCAATTTAAAATAAACCAATCATGATTTAGAAAAGAAGCTTCATTGATGATATACTAAAATTAAATTCATATAACATTTAACATTCTATAAATTATATTATATGACTTTATTTGAATAAATGAAACAGTTGTCAATATTTAATGCAGTGGAAAAAACGGTATATTGGTTGTCAATATATGTTTAAATTAGGTAACCTTATTATGGAAAGAAAGTCTAATTAAAATGCTTATAATTATATAACAATATCATAACTATATGAGACGAGGAAGGTCGTTCAACTAATAAAACAAAAAAATATTGTCTACAAAGAGGTCATTCAATGATTATAGATATTTATCATTTTCAATGTATTTTCTACACATTTCAATAATACCAATAACCATATATTTTTTTATAATCATTATGCAATATCCGTAGACAATTATATGTTTTTTATGTGTTTCCCGCGTTTAACGCGGACTATAATCTAGTTAAATATAAAGTAAAGATAAACATAATAATCTCGCACTGTAAAATGTTAATAAATATAATATAACTAGTTTATAACCCGTGGGAACCACGGTTACAAAATTATTTAAACTTTTATAGTAAAAACTCAAAATTATTAAGAAATTATTTTAAATAAATTATTAATTAAGAGATTTTTTTAGTTAAATAAAATTATAATCATTGATTTAAATAAATATGTAAAATTATATCACTTTATAATTTGTATTAATTTTATTTTAATTTTTATTCTAATGTTATTAATTTAATGTAATTAGAGTGAGAAATTTAAATTTTGAAATAGAGAATCAATCTGTTGACAAGTGACATGCATTAATTAGGAGACATAATAGGGTGACACATGACAAAAGAAAAATAAAATACGCATTAATTAGAAGGTGTAATAGTATGACATATATTAAAAGAAGAATAAAATTATTATTTTGTTAGAATATAGAGAAGAGATTTTATAGATATTGAATTAATTTAATTTCTTATAACGGTGTAATTTTGGTTTCCCGTATTTTGTTTTAATAAATCAATAAAATATTAGAAAAAGAATATCCACCTAACTGCTGTTAACCACCCTCCACTCCACTTCTCTCAAACTCCCCTGCAAAGTCCAAACATGTCCTCGATCTTTCCATTCCCCCAAATCCTAACACTAATTTCGATCCATGACTACTCCCAAATCTCAGTTTCAAACGCTTTCATCTCCTTCATTGTCATCATCGTCATCATCGCTTTCTTCATCAAGGTTTACCCCTCCAAAACCCTTAAAATTCCCTTTAAAACCCTTCAAAACCCTCTGTTCACAAACCTCCAATCCTCGTCCTCCAGAAAAACCGATAACCTTCATCTCAATTCTCCGAGCGATTCCCGATTGGGCTGATGGCATCAAAGAGAGGCGTATGAAACAGAGTAAACCGCTTTACAAACACGACGACTGGGTTCGACACAGAAGCTCTCTAAGGCATATTAGGCATTTGCTTTCCAGTTTCAGTTCTCGCGTTATATTGTCGTTGGTGCCGCCGGTAATCGCGTTTACGTCGGTAGCGGCGGTTGTAGCGAGTTACAACACGGCGGTTCTCTGGCATCTGTTGCCGGAGATTTTTCCGGTCCTTAGAGCTTCTTCTTTGCCGTACCAATTGACTGCACCGGCGTTGGCGCTTTTGTTAGTTTTCAGAACAGAAGCTTCGTATTCGAGGTTTGAGGAAGGGAGGAAGGCTTGGAGTAAGGTGATCTCAGGGACAAATGACTTCGCTAGGCAAGTAATTGTTAGCGTGGAGAAGGATTCCTCTTTGAAGACGGCACTTTTGCAGTATATTATGGCGTTTCCAGTTGCTCTTAAGGTTTGTAAATTCTGCCTCAATGCTTTCTTAACTTCAAAATTGCTATGAAATTGCAGCCGATTCTTTCTTACATTCTCGAAGGATGTATAAACCTTTTCTTTAGTTTATTTATAAATCTTTGAATGCAGTGCCATTTGATTTACGAATCTGATATAGGAAGAGACCTTCATGGCTTGCTTGATGATGAAGATCTAGCAATAGTTGTGAGTTCAAATCATCGCCCACTTTGCATCATCCAGTTCATCTCTCAAAGCATGCAGCTACTTGATTTGGAGGAACCAAAGCGGACTCTACTGGTAATTTTATGTCTGAAAGTTTATAGATATGATCTCAAAGTCAAACTGTAAAAATTTGTGCTTTAAAAAATGCAGGAATCGAAAGTTTCTTGTTTCCATGAAGGTATTGGGGTTTGTGAACAAATCATGGGTATACCTATTCCTCTTTCGTATACCCGTTTGACCTCAAGATTTCTTGTGTTATGGCATCTTACCCTTCCCATCATACTTTGGGATGACTGTAACTGGATTGTGGTTCCTGCTACATTTGTCAGTGCAGCTTCTTTATTCTGCATTGAAGAGGTTCCTCTCCCTCTCTCTCCCTCTGTGTGTGTGTGGCTATGGAGGCCAATGCCCTGTTCTTTTTTTCATCTAAGTATCATCCCATGCTTAAAAGATACTGGAGAATAAGGGCAAATTTATAAAAGTTAGGACCGTAAAATGTGGCCAAATGATGCTTGAAGAATGGTGAAATGACCATAATGCCCTTCGATTCTGTCATATTTTTCTATTTGCCTAAATCAAAGTTTTGCAATAGTTTTATGGCTTTCATTGATAATAATCCGAACATGTCCCTTATTTCCACTTTTCATTATACAGTTTCATGTACTTATTAAAGTTATGAACAGAAATCGAGCGGATGTATTAAATATCCGAAAATTTGTATAATTTCCCTTTGACCTCAAAAGTCTAACATTACATTTATTTATTTATTTTTTTAAAATTTTGCAGGTGGGAGTTCTGATTGAAGAGCCCTTCCAGATGCTTGCTCTAGATGAGCTCTGCAATCGGGTTTGCAACCATGTACAGGAGGCAATGAAAAGTGAGAAAAAGATTAAAGGATCTCTTTTACTGAAAAAAGATGCTAATTCATCCAAGAACTCTTCACTAAATGGCCACCACCCAATTCAACAGAATACTCAACCAAATACTTCTTCCTCGAGAAAATAAGACAGACAGACTTGTACAGTGTTTGACATGCGTTGGACTGAGACTGAGACTGAGACTGTGTTCAGTAGGTCATGAAAATAACGCTAGAAAGCTTTACAGTCTTGTCATGTCCTGTCCTGTGTAACAAATGCAACTTTGAGGGTGGGATACATTTTCAAATTTTTTTTTTCTACATGGAAAAAGTTGAAAATGATGAAAGTGAAATGAGGTTTAAATGAACACCACTCTAAATTGTATCAAGGCCTTTTGTAGTTGTATATATAGTTGGTATTTTTGTCAATGAAACCATGAAGGTTGTTAACTTTTAGGGTGTGTTTGTTTTGCGGATTCTCATGGAATGTGAAGGAATTGGAATGGAATGGAACATGATATTCCTTTGATAATGCTTTTGATTGGCAAATTTGATGGATTTGGATTCCGTCGAAATTCTATTGGAATCCATGTTCAAGCAATCTAAATTTCACTCCCTCTATTTTATGAAAAAGACAAATTTATCTTTTTTATCTTATATATTGAACTCATACAAAAATCATTGTCTCTATGATGGGAATCTATTGATTTGAGGATGATTAATTTTCTTGTTAAATTAGTGTTCTTCATGGATGATTAATTGCTTAGTTTGCTAAGAGTTTGGTGGATAAATTTTCAATTTTCAGTTTTTAATTTCATCTAGGGTTTGAACAGATGATTGAAAATTTCTTCCTATTCTAGCTCTATTCTTTGAAAAATCTTTAAAGACTAATTGGTGTTTGGGATTGCTTTTAAAATAACTTTTTAACTTTTAGCTTTTTGAAAAAGTTAAAAGATTCAAAAGATGTTTGGGAATTAAAAAATAACATTTGAAAATAAGTTTTTATCAAGAAAAAAAAGAAGGCTTTTCAAAAGTCATGAAATTGTATCTTTTTGTAACTTTTGGCCTTTTAAAATGTAAAAACCATTCAAAAGTCAAGAAATTTCATCCAAACATTTTTTAAAACCAACTTTTAACTTTTACTCCTTAAAAGAACTTTTAAGAAAAAAACTTTTATAAAAAAGACTTTTGGCTTTGAAAAGAAATCCAAACACCTCTTAAATACAAGTAATAGCAAAGTACCTTCATAGATTTATTTATAGTAACATCATACTTCAAAAAATTTACCCGATTATAACAATATCATCTAAATACAGAGCAATTTTCACCTACTTAATTGGGTAGATCTTGCAAAATATAATATCATAATAAGTAGATTTTCAAAATACAATGTCCTAATAAGAAAAAAATCGATGCTTTAATAAAGAGAAATAAAAATAGGATGCTATAACACAAATAAACAAAAATAAATTGATATTTCTTTCATTTTAGTCCTTCCTATAACTACGGTGGTTGTTTTAAAAGCTAAAGCAAAGTATCCATGGTTACAAATGTTGATCATTCATTTTTATTTTACACAACCTACTTTTCACCTCCAATTACATTTTTACCCCTGCACCTAAAATTAGGTAACACATAAGTTATCAACATCGACTTGTTCCCTAACTTTTAACAGATGGAAGAACATCAATTGATTCAGAAGATAGGGGTAATAATAAGATATTAGTTGAAAAGGATCCAATTCACATTGAAAAAATAGAAAAGATCAAAAAGAAGATTTCTGATAATTCCTCAATGATGCCCTTAAAGCGAATGAAAGATTGTATGTCTAGAATCGACAATTTACAACTCTTCAAGCAAGATGTTATCCACCCTGCATTTACAAGAAAACGGACAACATAAGGAGACAATTTTATGCAACTATGATGACCTTTTTATTGTTGTACTTTTAGTAGATAGCTCTTAGTCGTATGGTGGATAATCTAGTGTAAACCGCATTTTTTAAAACAAGAAATGGAGTTGTATAATGTTTATTGTGGTTTATCTTTCCAATGTTAGCTGCGGGACCAATTGGTGAAGGCGTTGCAAAATGGCTAGTAGTAAAGATGTAAAATAAGAGTTTAGATACTAAAATGGTTGCATATAAAAATGTGAAATTAGGGACATTATGATTTATTTTCTGATGTTAGTTATGTGTGCTATTGATGGAGAGCATTTATGTCTTTTGTATGGATGAGAGATATGAAGTGAGTTTCCCACCTTATTCCATATTTTTGGGTAATTTGACTTATTGTTCTTAGTAGGGTTTTACTACAAAAAAATCATTTTTAACATTTATTACAAATGAGTCCGGTTCCGGTGATGACTATTTTTTTGGTGAGGACTCGTGAGGATACCTTAAAAAAATCTAAAAAAAATACAAATCATATAATCAAGCATGATACTATATAGGAGAGAAAAAAAATTGGAGTTTTTCTTTTTGATCATTAAAATTGAATCATGAATCATAAAAAGTGAATCATGGATCATAAAAATGATCCGTGCTTCAATTTTAATGATCCAAAAAAAGAATTCCAATTTTTTTCTCTCCAATATAGTACTATGCTCAATTTTATGATTTGTATTTTTTTATATATTTTTTTTAATTTTTTTAAGGTGTCCTAATCGAAAAAATAATTTATTACAAATACCTATTTATTTTGGAAATTGAGTTACTAATATAATGTTACAGCTACGAAAAAGGTAGAGCCATTTATTACAAATACCTACTTATTTGGGAAATTCTTTTATAGATTTTTTTTTCGTGAAATGGATCATCATAAACGTAAATTTTCGCTAACAATATGAAGGTGTAAGTTACATATATATTAGAGATGGGATTTTTTTTTATGTAAATACTAAACGTTTCGATCTTAATTTATTATTTGTCACTTGTAACGATTTATAAAATATAATGTAACATCCCAAAAAAAAATACGGCCCAAAAATTTCATTTTTCAATTATAATAAAAATCATAAACCATTCAGTATCATAAGTAAAATCGTGGGTCACGTATCATAACATATCATAAGATCGGTCCCATATATATATATATATATATATATATATATATATATATATAT